AAAAAAACTAGGGAAAGAACATTCAAAGTAAAAGATTATTCATATATGTTTTCCGTTTTTAATAAAAAAATTGTAGGATTCGAAAAAAATGCAAAATGTGTTTTTTTTTTCCAAAAATATTTCAAAAAATGTTTGAATAAAAAACCTCAAAAAATTTTTTCATGAAAAAAAAGAAAATCAGGAAGGAGAATAATAGATTTAGGAAATATTTACCGAATATTACGTTTTTGGAAAGAAATAACTCACAATTTAATGGTTATTGATTTATGGGATTAAAACTAATTTTGGTAGAATATCCTTTCTACCATTTGGTAAAAGATAGAGAAAGTAGTAGATAAAAGGGGTATAATATGTATTCTGCGTATCGTAGAAGACATAGTCATTGGTAGAAATAGTATTTTGCGGTTGCTAGTACTGAAACAAAATGGTAAAATATGCAATCTGTGATATGTAGAACTTGAACAATTAGTAGAATACTTCCTTCTACCACTTGTAGATTTGTATAAATTCGCAGAACACCTAATTTACTAGTAGATTCGACTATGGTAGAAGGAAAAATAAATAATTTTCTGTCATAGTTTTTAATGAAAAAAATATAAACATAAATCTATATGCCTTGTACATTACTCTTTCATATTTTCCTGATTTAATAAAATTATAAAAACTATTTATTTGTAATTTTGAATATTAATCAAAGGGTAATGCATGAAAACGTTGGCACAAAAAAGACAAATGTTATTGAGACAAAACCAATTTCAATGTGAGTCAATTTAGCAAAATTCTCTTTTTTAAATTTGATTTAACTCTATTGATAAGTAGTATTGAGTATTCTACGAGATTTGAATTCTTCAATAACTGTATTATTTGAATTCTTCTTGTCAAACATACTGGATTATCAATTTGAGTATAAAGAGGGTTCGTTCGTATTGGTATATTAATGGATTTAGAAATCCAAACATAATCTTATGTTATTCAATCAAATATTTGAAAGTCCTTATTAAAATGAGAAATTTACAAAATTATGACTGAAATAGAAAATGTTTCAACTTTCAATGCACTTTTATTTTTACAAGAATTACACATTAGAATTACACTTTGATTTATATTGACAATTGAGTTTTTTTTGGAACTCCCAAAGTTCGGACGCATGGACCGGTCACATCTCCACTTTGTTTCGTCTGGTCTTCTTGATCAATTTTCGTCTCATCACGTTACCACACTCGAAGACTTCAACGACCGGTCTAATAGATCGGGTCTATGCTTAATATCTCTGTCCGGTTTTTCATGAATTTGTAATTATTTTCGAAACAAAAATCGCATGCCGATACTTAATTTCGTATTTGATATTTATAGTACCGCATTAATGATCATCAATTTAATTGGTTACATTCCCTATCAGAGATTATCCGCACATAAGTTCGAAGTTAAAAAAATCACAAACAAACAAAAAAGTCATTTAAAAGCTAGGCAAAAAGAAAGAAAACTTGAAAGTAGAAGATAGACTGGCCTTAATATGGTAAGTAGTGAAAAAGGCTCCTCACTTGAAAAAAATGTTGTATCTTGAGATCCTCTTGATGAATCTGTGAGTTTGAAGTCTTCTAGAAGTTTTCGTTAGCTTCACAATTACAGAATGTAGCCGTTGGAGTGGAGAAGGTGTTATTGGGTCTATATATGGCAACAAGTCTTGATGCGTAAATGATTGAAATGTTGTTGGGTATGAGTTGATCACCCTTATCTAAAATCCTTTCCAAATTGAGATCAATTCATAAAACCCACTAATTGCTAAAGCCCATAAAATTTGGCCAAAAGTAACCAAAGTTACTTTAATACCATGATTAGTGTCTCATTTTCTCTATAAATAGAGAGGGCACCCATTAAGAAAAAGGTTCCCACTTTTTTTACAAGAGTGGAGAGGCTTCACTACAAGCTCTCTGAAACCAGCTCGGAGCTCCCCATCTCTGCAGCTTCCTCAGTTCGGAGCTCCCCATCTCCGCAGCTTCCCCAGTTTGGAGCTCCCCAATTCGGAGCTCCCAAGCTCACAACTCCCAAGCTCACAACTCCCCAGTTCGGAGCTCCCCAGCGCACATATCCCTAGTTTGGAGCTTCCCAGCTCGCAGCTCCCCATCTCGTAGCTTTCCTAGCGTCACCAATCACCAAGCTTCCTTAGGTCCGTCGAGCTTCCGAAAATCCACGAGGTCATCGCTCCCATGCTCGCCCACTTTTTTAGCTCCCTCGAGCTTCCCAAGATCCACGAGGTCATCGCTCCCAAGCTCGCCCACTTTCTTAGCTCCGCCGAGCTTCCCAGGCTCGGTGAGGTCGTCATTTCCAAGCTCCGACAACTTGCCTAGCTCTTCCAGCTTCCCTTGCATCGCCAAGCTTCCCTAGCTCCGCTAGATCATCATTCCTTAGCTCACACAACTCCTCAAGCTTGCCAAGTTATCGTTCTCTAACTCGCCAGATCGTCATCAAGGCAGCTTCCGGAGCTACGTATCACGTCATCAAGACAGTTTCCAAGCTCATCAAGACGGCTTCCAAGCTCATCAAGACAGCTTCCAAGCTCATCATCAAAATAGCTTCCT